ACACACACACACACACACACACACACACACACACACACACACACTATCTCATGCCATTTTAAAGGATAGACTGTTTTCTAAAATAAAATATACTGAACAGGGACAATGACAGGGTCATTCATGCAGTCTATATCCAGTCACATTTGGAATATTATCCCTTATAACATGGATTCATCACATCCTCACTCATCTCTCTGTCAAGATGGATCCCACTCTCCTGTCTAGCACATGCTGTCAGTAGTACAGCTAGTACTACTAGTAGTAGGAGCAGTAACAGTAGTAGTTGCAGTATGTTAATATAAGGGTTTGACTACAAAAATATGTCAAGCAAAACATTCTTGTTAAAAACATTATTCACTAATAATAGCTACACTTGCACATTCCAGTCCTGTTTAAGTGTTGACTAAATCCCACCATATAAAGCCTGTTAAATGTCAAATGTGTTTTTTCATACTCACTATTAACACACGCATGCTAAGGTCTGGAGACACACAGCTGTAAATTGGGACTTCCAGATGGGGCGTCAGCATGGTGTCATGCTGCCAGAGAAAGTCGCTGCACTTGAACAACAGAAGGCTGGCTGCTGCAGCAGAGTTTAAAATTAGACTTACTGCCTGGCAGTACCCAACTCCTGTCTCACTTTCCCTTCAGGATAGGAGTCAGTACAACAATGTACCACATCGGCACAGTGGCTGTCACCTCACAGTTAGAAGGTCCTGGGTTTGAATAAGCCTTGATATTTTATCTTCTCTAAGAACTTGGAGCTGTATTTCTGTAGGTTTCCTCGCACACTTAAGCAGTGGTCACCAACCTTTCAAGCCCAAGTTCACTTTTTAATTCTAAGCGTAAGCTGAGATCTACCGCACTGATATGTTAGGAGGGTCATATCTATTGGTTTTGTAGGTTCTGTTAATGGCTGAATATTTTTTTTAGCTTCAGTTCAATATGTTCTGCAGAGAATCTGCTACTGCAGCACAATGTTTTTACACAGGCTTTGCCTTGAATATGGCCATAAATATGACTATTTCCTTGTATAATATATATTGTGTACTCAAATAAATACTGGCACTATAAAGTATAAAGTCTTCAGCACCTGCAAATATTTTACAATCAAACACCCTTTTTAAACAATGAATGGATTTGTTCAACAGAAACACTGGAGTGCTTTTATTTTGAAAATCTTACAGAAAGTGCTGCAAACATTTGTGACATAAATTCATCAGATAAACATTAAAATGCAGGTTAAAGATAATTTTTTCTCTTTAATCTTCTGTGAACCACAATGTTTATCTGTCTATGACACGAACATATTTCGAACCCCGAACCTGTTTCAAAGTAAAGTACTCCAGCGTTTCACTTTCTAAATCCATTCATTTGTTCTAACAGGGCTTTGATTGTTGTTGACAGACCGGAAGATGCAAGTCTTCATACAATAGAGTCCTGACATTTAGTTTTGTACATAATGTACTTGTATTCAAGGAAATGCAGGGGATAAACTAGCATTGGACTTTCCACCTCCATGTACAGAGATAATCTAGATGTCATAAATTTCATCTTCTGGCCATGGCGTTTGCCCAGACATCTTGGCAGATGCTGTGAGCAGCCTCCAATTTAGGGCCACAGGGACTATATGTGCTGCAGAAATACAGTGTAGTGTAAGCAAAACTACATATGCATCCACTGTCTGCCCTGCTGTCCTCAGCAAGAGGTCCTATGAATCAGGTCATAAAATGTGCTTTGGAGCTGTGTCTAAAGGGCAAAGCATTCCTTCCTGCCTCGCAAATTTAGTGTTGATTTTCAATGAACTGAAAGGAATTCAGATCTCCTCAAACACATTAATCATGTTATATGTGGTTGTTCACTTGAAAATTGATAGAGGTAGTAGTACCGTTTTAAGGTTGAACTGACCCCTTTGTTACACACAAAGAGATAGTCTGACTTGCTATGTTATGGGTGAACTGGCCTGGGTGTAGGACTCCCACTTCTCCCAGATACTAAAATTCTAATACCCAGAACTTTTGAGACATGCAAGATTTACTTTTTACCAGGACGAAGGAAAAGGGAGAGGGTAGGACAAAACGCAGAACAAAAGGAATCTTCAATAAATCAAAAGTTACACTCAAGCAAAACAGTGGAGTAGCACAGGGAAAGACATGAAAAACTTACGGAGAATGTGGCAAGAGTTGTCAAGACACATGAACATGACTAGGGTAAATGACGACAAACCAACAAAGACATGGGGGAACACAAAGACCTAAATACACACTGAACTGATGAGTAACTGGAGACAGGTGGCACAGGACAAACAGGTGAGCCTGACGAGGGCAGGAAGTCTAGTAGGGAAAACACATCAGGAGCAGGGACTACAAAATAAAACAGGAAACAGAGGAATACTGAGAAGAACATGGGGTGAAGCACAGGGTGGAACATAGAGAGGAACACAGAGATGAACACAGGGTGGAACATAGAGAGGAACACAGAGATTAACACAGAGATGAACACAGCAAGGCACACAGGAGAAACACGCAGAAGGGAACACGAGAGGAACACAGGGTGAAACATAGAAAGAGAAACACAGAGATGAACACACGGTGAAGCACAGGGAGGAACATAGAGAGGAACACAGAGATGAACACAGGAGAAGCATTTGAAACAGAGGGGAACACAGCGATGAACACAGCAATGAACACAGGAGAAACACAGTATGGAACACAGAGGAACGCAGAAGGGAACACAAGAGGAACACAGGGTGGAACATAAAGAGGAACACAGAGATGAACACAGGGTGGAGCACAGAGGAACACAGAAAGGAACACGAGAGGAACACAGAGAAGAACACAGCAAGGGACAAAGAGGCGAACACAAGAGAGGGACCCAGAGAGGGATGCAGAGAGTGATACACAGAAAGGAGCAGAGTGGGACACAAGCGAGGGACACAGAGAGGACATAGAGCAAACTTAAAACGTGAATTCAAAACGTAACAAAAACACAGTTTAAACTTGAACTGAAAACACTCTTTATAAAAGAGGACAAAAATACAACGAGAAAATCTCTCCTGCCGAGACATTTTGAATGGGTGCCTTTTGGATGCCGCTCCGCACAGAGAGACACATATTATCCAGGTTCACATGAAATCCAATTTCAGAGAGACATTTAGTATAAGAGGAAGGAGATAGACCCTGAGAGAGAGAGAGAGACGGTGAGAGTGAAAGACATTTCCAAAAGCTGCTTGATTTTATAATCATGCATGATCCAGGTCAGTGACAGAGAGACTTGACCAATTTCAGAGAGACATAGAGAAACCATGTTGTAAGGTCTTATCACCATCAAAACAAAACAAAATCCGAATGCTGAGCTAAAATAAAAAACCACGCTGTACATTTTATGTTGGAAATTCTCTCTATATGTCATCCCTGTCTATCCTGCTTACAGCGGTCTGCCCATCAGCCTCATCTTCTTCCTGGGGGTACAATTTCTATTACCAGCAAGACTGCACAAAATCCTGACCTCTTTTCCACATGCTTAGCTCCTCACCATAGCAGCAGCTTGTATCCTGATGCCCCTGGCTTCCTGCCCTGGCATCTTATTTGAACCAGGGTTGACATCCTGCCATACTTGCCCTGATACCAAAGAGTTTTTTATCATTAAGCTGGTATTCTGCTAAAGTCAGTCACTGATCAGATTTCATGTTTTCTATTTTCTCTGTGTAGCATCACAGTGCCACAGTCTACTGAATATTGCAACATTAAAAGGGAACTGTTGGGTTTCTCTAAAATGTTAAACTTGAACTTCTATGTAAAGTGCCTTTATAATGTTTATTAAGATATGACGCTATACAAATAAAATTGAATTTATCTGAATTAAATCTACACTTACATTTTCTGATTTCCTGCCTCACTACCTGTCTATCTCTGTCTTTCCTCCTGTGTCCTGACTAATGCTGGGATTCTTCACCAGTCATCTGTGACTCAGGAACTTTCCATGAGTCATGAAGAACACCACGTCCAAAACCCTGCATGACTTCACTGCAATGGGCCCTAAGACATGCATTCAGTCTTGTTAATTTTTTTAACTTACAGTCTGTGACACAATTCCAGTAACACAAAAGTTTGCCAATTACAGTGATATGAACAGTAAAGTTGAACATAAAAGCACGAAAATGTCCTTTGTATTAATGAGTGTATAGACCAGTTTTCAAAGTGGAAAAATTAGTGACTGTAGTGATGAAATGCCTGAGCCCTCAAGGGTGCAGATAAAGCCAGGAGTTGGTCAAACTGGGCTTTTGTGACAGCAGTGATTAAACAAAAGCAGAAATCAAAGAAAGAAGCTCAATCCTGTTGTCTTCTGCTACATCATTGTTCTGTAGTTACACTTAGTGTATCATGTCTTCATTCATTCTTCTGTTCTCCTTTCTTTATCAATGCCCCTCATATTCTAGGTTCACATCATTGTCATGGACAACAATGACAATGCTCCCATCTTCTCCCAATCAACCTATGACGTGAATATTTCTGAAGATACACCACCAGACTCTGAGGTGGTCCAGGTTTTGGCATCTGACCGTGATGAGCATCACCGGCTGACCTACTCACTACAGAGCTCTATCGACCCCAACAGCTTGCGTCTGTTCCGCATCCACCCTACAGTGGGCACCATCTACACTGCTCAGAGGCTGGATCATGAGGCCTGTGCCCAGCACATCCTCACTGTCGTTGTAAGACTTGCTTTGGTCCAGTATGCACCACTAATTGTTTTAAATTTAAGTCAGTGTCTGCCAATGACTTAAATATGATATTTAGGATCTTGAGCCAACAGCTGTGACTCTTTCACTGCCTCAGTTTACATTGAAAGGGTCCAGTCTTGCCTATATTGTCGTCCCAATAGAGTTACAGTGTTGTACTGAGGTCATTCATTTTGTCTTTCTCTGTTATAACTCATTATGTCACTTTTAGATTTTGCAATTGAATGATCATCTTATTATACTGATGACCATGAAGGATTGCTTTTTTATTGTTGTATTTTGTGTTCCACAGGTAAAGGACCAAGAGTTCCCCTACAGAAAGAACCTGGCTCGTGTGCTTATAGAGGTGGAAGATATAAATGACCATGTACCCATCTTTACTAGTGCTTTATATGAAGGCCAAGTCTATGAGTCAGCGGCAGTGGGATCAGGTGTGGTCCAGGTCACTGCTCTTGACAAAGACAAAGGAGAGAACGCAGAGCTACACTACTCCATTGAAGCAGGTGGGCACCTCTGACAACTAAATAGCCTACCTGTTCTTATAAGTTGCAGGTGTTCTTTAGGTAACTAATCTCTGTTATTTATTTTCCCACAGGGAACACTGGAAATGCATTCAATATTGAGTCAGTTTTGGGTATCATCACTGTTGCACATGACCTGGATTTGTCCAGCATAGGCCATTATGTTCTCACTGTCAGAGTCACTGACAATGGCTCCCCTCCCCTGTCCACCACAACTATTGTGCGTATTGCTGTCACCCTCTCTGACAATGCTGGCCCAAAGTTCCCTCAGCCTGAGTACCAAGCTGAAATCACAGAGACAGCAGTGATTGGGACCTCTGTTACCACAGTCAGTGCTGTAAGCCAGTCCACCCTAACCTATGACATCAAGCAAGGTAACAAAGACCGTGTTTTTCAGATTAATCAATACAGTGGAGTGATTACTACCCGAAGACCTCTAGACTTTGAGACTACAGCATCGTATACTCTGATAGTCCGGGCTACCAACATGGCTGGCATGGCTTCCAATGCTACTCTGTTGATTCAGGTCGTGGATGAAAATGACAACCCGCCAGTGTTCCAGCTGCTCCATTATCATGGTAGCATCAGCGAGGCAGCACCAGTCAACAGTGTGGTCTGGGACTCAGATGACTCACCTCTAGTAATCAAGGCCACCGATGCTGACCGCAACCAAAATGCTTTGTTAGTCTTCCAGATTGTTGAGGATACAGCAAAAATGTTCTTCACAGTAGACTCAGGGACTGGCTCCATTAGAACCATTGCTAATCTAGACCACGAGACATTTTCCAATTTTCACTTCCATGTTCATGTGAGGGACAACGGTAGGCCACAGTTGACAGCAGACAGTCCAACTGAAGTCATAATACAAGTGATTGACACAAATGATTCACCACCTCGTTTCACCCAGAATGCCTATGAAACAGTCCTGCTACTTCCCACCTATGTGGGAGTAGAAGCTTTGCAGGTTTCAGCTGTTGACCCTGATAAAGATGTTCTCACAGAGCTTACCTACTCTCTGACTGATGAAGTACTGGAGTACTTTGCCATCAAACCTTCTAGTGGAGTCATCATTGTCAAAAACAATAACTTCACTAAAGAACATTTTCGCTTCAGTGTCAAAGTTTCAGATGATAAATTCTCCAGCATGTCTATGGTGACCATTCTTGTCCAAGAAGCTCTGGATTCTGGCCTCAGCTTCACCCATAGTCTTTACTCTTCATTTATTCAAGAGAATGTGTCAAATATCACCCAAGTAGCTGTGGTTAATGCTGTGGGAAACCGTCTAAATGAACCTTTGAAGTACACCTTATTGAATGCTGGTACACGCTTTAGAATTCGTCCAACTTCTGGTGTGATCCAAACTACAGGAATACCCTTTGACCGTGAAGAGCAAGAGTTTTATGAACTGATTGTTGAGGCAAGAAGGGAATATGACCATCTGCATGTGGCTAGAGTTATGGTTAGAGTCCAAGTTGAGGACATAAATGATAATACTCCTGTGTTTGTTGGACTTCCTTATTATGCAGCTGTTCAGGTTGAAGCTAAGGCAGGATCACCTGTTTTCAGGGTCATGGCAGTAGACGGTGACAAAGGAATTAATGGAGAGATATCTTACTATCTTCAGGATGACCATGGTCACTTTGAGATCAACCGACAGACAGGTGGTCTCAGCCTTAAGAGAGCCTTTGAATCTGACCTGTCTATTGTGGAATACCAGATGGTGATATATGCCAGAGATGGTGGTTATCCACCTCTCTCATCTACCATAGAGTTCCCCATCACTGTTGTCAACAAGGCAATGCCCGTCTTTGACAGATCATTTTATTCTGTTTCCGTTAATGAGGATGTAGCTGTGCACACACCTATCATGGGCATCAATGCCACTAGTCCTGAAGGTCAAAACATCATCTACACTATTGTTGATGGAGACCCATCTCTTCAGTTCGACATTGGTTTTGACACTGGCATCATAAGTGTCATCCACTGTTTGGACTATGAATCAGCAGCATCTTACCACCTGACCATCAGAGCCACAGACTATCTAACTGGTGCCCGTGCTGAAGTCGATGTTGATGTGAGTGTCCAGGATGTTAATGATAATCCGCCTATCTTCCAGAAAATGTCGTACAGGGTAGTTTTGCCTGAAACAGCCATGATTGGAACCCCAGCCCTTCAAGTTATTGCCACTGATAAAGACTCACAGAAGAACAATGTTGTCCGCTACCAGATCTTCTCAGATGCACATAACAGCACAGATTACTTTCACATTGATAGTAGCAGTGGATTAATTCTCACAGCACGTATGCTAGATCATGAACTCCTCCAGAAGTATGATTTCATTGTCAGGGCCACTGATAATGGCTTTCCACCACTAAGTAGTGAAGTATTTGTCACAGTTATAGTGAATGACATGAATGATAATCCTCCACTTTTCAATCAGCTACTCTATGAGGCATATGTGAATGAGTTAGCACCGAAGGGCCATTTTGTAGCCTGTGTCCAGGCCTCAGACGCTGACAGCTCAGATTGGGAAAAACTGGATTACAGCATTTTATCAGGAAATGAAAGAATGAATTTTGTGATGGACAAAAAGACAGGAATCCTCACGTTGTCTAGTCACCGGAAGCAAAGAATGGAACCTGCATACAGCCTCAATGTTTCAGTGTCTGATAGGGTATTCACAAGCACTGCACAGGTTCATATTAAGATGTTGGGAGCCAACCTGTACAGTCCAGTGTTTGGACAAAATGTGTATGAGGCTGAGTTAAGAGAGAATGCTGCAATAGGAACCAAAGTTATACAGGTAAGTGCTGTTGGAATTCATTTTAGTTTTTTTTCATTCTTATGTTTTTGTTTCAGGAGAACTGAAATGATAAATTACTCTTAATTACTTTAATTCCAGGTTAAAGCAACAGATGCAGATCCCGGAGTGTTTGGTCACTTCACTTATTCCTTCATTAATGATGTGGGAAAGGACCAGTTCAGCATTGATGCAAATGGGCAGATCACCACTGCAGAAAAGCTTGATCGTGAGGACCCAGCCAATAAGAACATAATTTTGACATTGGCAGCCCGGGACTCTGGTGGACGTGACTCCTATTGTACAGTACAAGTCACTCTTTTGGATGATAATGATAATGCACCTCACTTCCATGCCACTGAGTACAGAGCTTCAGTCAAATCTGATGTGGCTACAGGATTTTTGGTGACACAGATTCAGGCCTATGACCCTGATGATGGCTCTAACGCCAAAGTTACATACTCACTTTACAGTGAGGCACATGTCCCAGTGGTAGACATTTTGGAAATAGACCCAGACAATGGTTGGATGGTGACTAAAGGCAGCTTCAGTCACTTGAGGAACTCTGTATTATCTTTTTTTGTGAAAGCTGTGGATGGTGGAAATCCAGTCAGACACTCTTTAGTGTCTGTCTACATCCATGTTCTTTCTCCAGATTCTTTAATTCCTTACTTTAGCCAACATCAATATTCATTTGGCGTGCCAGAGGATACTCCAATAAGTTCAACCATAGGGATGGTGCAACTCAATACTCCTCCCGGATATGCTTTGCTCTCTGCTACTTTTGCCCTGGTTAATGGAGAGACTGGAGAAAACAACCAAGATGGAGTATTCGTGGTGGATAAGGACACTGGTGTGATCAAGCTCGATAAGCCTTTGGACTATGAGGTAATCAAAGGATACCACTTCAAAATCACTACCACTGTACAACAGGCTAAGCTGGATTCTGTGACTTCCGTTGATGTTGAAATCAAAGTATTTGATCTAAATGACAACAAACCAGCCTTTGAAGCTAACTCATATGAGGCCACAGTTATGGAGGGAATGTCAGTTGGAACCAAAATCATTCAAGTGCAAACAGTAGACCCAGACTCAGGGGCCAATGGCCAGGTAACATACAGTCTTGGGGAATTAATCCAGTCAGAAGGAGATTCAGATACACTGGTTGACACTTTTAGTATTGACAGCAACACAGGCTGGATCTCAACATGCAAAGACCTGGACCATGAGATCAATCCATCCTACACATTCACAGTTGTGGCCTCAGACCTTGGGGAAACTTTGTCTCTTTCCAGTACTACTACTGTGACAGTAGCAGTGGCAGACATCAATGACAACCCACCCAGGTTTCTGGAGCAGCACTACTTTGGCTCAGTTTTGGAGAGTGACCCACCAGGAGAGGTGGTAGCTGTGCTGAACACTAGAGATGATGACAGCTCTGCTCTTAACCGGCAAGTCAGCTACCACATCACTGGTAAGTACCATTGTAAATGTCAATGTTTAGTTCCTGTTTTCCTTATCTGGCCTATCAGGATGGCAACTTTGATATAGTAAAGCCGAAGGTTTTTGTGACAGGTAAACAAACTATCATGGTTATGGTTACTATGGTTGCCATAGCAACTAAATCAATTGGTTGAGGTTATAGAAAAACAACATCAAAACAACAATAAGACAATCTTTGACAGGATCCCTTGTGTTCTACATGACAGTCAGATACTGTACATGAACATCCTCTACCCTGAACTGCAAAACTTTAGTTTCCACTTCACTTCATAGAAGGAATACAATTTTCTGCAATGTCACTGAATTTGAGTGTTTGACATAAATTGAGCAGAAAAAATACTAAATCCTGGGCTGTGTATTTTCATCCTTGTGCGTGCAAACATTGATTACGGAGAACCATTGTGTGTGTCTAGTTCTGTCTTGGTGCCAGATTTTACCCAAGATACAGTTATCACCTGACTGGTTACTGTTTTGCATCAGCTTACATAATGTAATAGTCATTTAGGAGAAAAACTGTACACTAAATTAAAGCTACAATACAGTACAAAACACATTGATTTTCAATGGTTGTTTTCAAAAAAATTGTGCATGCATTCCAGTTTTCCAAGTCAGAGTGAGAAACAGGTATTGAAATTAGATAATATGTCATGGCAGATAAGTATTCAACAGCCTATAACATTTACACAGTTACACATCTCAAGGTGCCAAAGAAGTTGTTAAATCGTTGTATGGAAATCAAGTGAAGAAGAAAAACAGTTTGAGTTGTTATAGGCAAAGGTGCAGGGATATTAGTTTTAACAGAGCAAAATTAATAATAGAGGAGAGGAAAGCCAGGTGAATGCTGAAACTGTATTAATGAAAGTGAAGTACTTACTTTGCTGAATTGCTGTCTGCTTATTAATGCAGCAGAAGATAATGATGAAGTTAGGACACCCCAAGAGACTGTTGCAGAAGACTAAAGTGCCAACAGGAGATACACTGAGGGTAGAAAAAAAGGAAATTCTTCCCCCAATCGTATATTTAATGAGTATAAGCTAAACAACTGGAGTGAACGGCAGTTTATGACCACAATTGATTGTTGCAGACCGATACTGGTCGCCAGTATCTATCTGTATCTGTATTTTTGTCTGTCTGTCTGTATGTGGTTTGCGTATCTAGAAAATAGTTGGCATGTGTATTTTTAAGGGCCTAAGAAAGTGCACTGTCAAGTTTGGTTTAATTTTGACACAAGATTCAATACCAATAAAATCTGAATAAACAGACGGTCTGTAGTCGGTTGGTAAATCATGACAAGCGCGTGTTTACAATGGACATGGTCTTAACAGCGATGACAAATGTTTCTCCAGTTTGAGGTTCTGAGTACTGAGTCGAGGTTCACTGAACTTTGAATTAACGGATGAACAGCTCTTTGTTGTGCGGCTACAAGGTTCTTTGGCCTGACTCCCACAGCTGGTCTTTACTTGCCAAGGCTCAATTATTGCAGGTCAGTTTTACAGTTTAAGAAATAAAGCTGCCATCAAAATTACCAAAGGCCAAGCAAACAGCCCATTCCAAACTGTTAGAATGGGTACTGCTATAAAATATCTTGACTCAGAGACACAACCATTATCTAATGCTACAGTATGTCTTTTAAAAAACAGTGACGTCCTGACAACAGTTTGAATGTTAGATTCAATTCCATCAATGTCCACATTGCCACCCTAATAGTAATGCTAGACAATTGCAATAGAGTTTTCAAAATGTGAAAAAATTATGGAGCATGCATCCACACAAAAACATTGAACATAAATAAATAATGTCTGTTCATGTCAGTAGGCTTAGTACATGTTTTACATACATGCTTTGTGTGATGTCAAAAACTTCTACTTACAGTGGAAATAAAATTCAAGAAATACTCATTATTTGCCAGTTTAGGTCTATATCCTAATCCTACATTACGACAACATTATATTTCCATTAATTATACTTTGCAACTGTAATGTCCTCTGAAGTCATGGAGACACAGCTGTGTGTTTGTGTGTTTGTCCCATTATTTACATTGTAGTGATTTATTGTCATGTGCTGTTTATGCTACTGGCTGTTTCTTCCTCCAGCCTTCACTCTGATGGACAGGGCTGCCTCAAGATGGAGGGCTGGAGGACTTTGCTTCTTTGATCGACAGTTCAGTTCAGCCAGTCTCGCAGCTCTCTCATGAATACACAATATTATGGTCCAACTTTTTCCCATTCTGCTGCAACATTGACTTCCCCACAATGGTTACACCTTTGTCTTCTGTCTTGTGTTTTTTTTTGTAACTCTCATTAATGCAGTGGTCCAAGAAACTATGGGGTATAATTTCCAAAAGTGGAGTGTTTTTAATCATGCTCAGTTTTTAAATATGTAGCATTGCCAAATGTAAAAAAATGTACCTCAATTTTCAACTGTTACTTTTTCTAAAACAGAAATTTATTTCAAATTATTCAATGCATATTCCAAGAGCAAATGTTCTGCAGTAAAGTAGAATCATAAAATAATATTTGGTGTAAATGTAAGTGTTAGAGGTAAATGTTAAATATAATTTTCAAATACCCACTGCTCAGAAATATTAAGGGAACACTTAATTGTCACAATATAACACCAAGTAAGTAAAATTCAGGGATATCAATCTGTCCATTTAGGAATCACAAGTGATTGTGAATCAATTTCACCTGCTTTGGTGCAAATGAACAGGTTCGATGGAGAGGCAAAAGCAAGACAACCCCCAAAAGGGGAACAGCTTTGCATGTGCTGGCCATAGACAGCTGCTCTCTCCTTATTCTTCCTGACTGAATCTTCTCTAGTTATGTTTTCTGATAGTGTTCTTGTCACTACTGGTAGCATGAGGCTGTACCTGCAGCCCTATCAGGTTGCACAGCTCCTCCAGGATGATACATCCATATGTGCGGATGCAAGAAGGTTTGCTGTGTCTCCCAGCACAGTCTTAAGAGCATGGAGGATATACCAGGAGACCAGCTGTTTCATGAGGAGAGCTGGACAGCGCTCTTGAAGAACGTACAACCCAGCAGCAGGACTGGTATCTGTTCCTTTGAGCGAGATAGAACAGGAGGAGCACTGCCAGAGCCCTACAAAATGGCCTCCAGCGGGCTACTGGTGTGCATGTTTCTGGATCAGGGCATCACTGAGCTCCTGCATAGTCTGTGGCGGTACTTGGTGTTGAATACATCGAAACATAATGTCCCATACGTGCTCAGTTGGATATAGGTCAGGGGAACATGAGGGTTAGTCAGTCTCATCCCAGTACCTAACAGCAGTCAGGGTACTGTTGGCTATGATATGGATATCTGTGCAACCCTCCAAGGATATGCCTCCTCAGTCCATCACCGACCCACCGCCAAACCTATCATGAGCGACGATGATACAGCAGCATAACGTTCACCACACTACATCAATGGAGCCTGTCGTAGCTCCGTGTATTACTGTCGGTCTTTCGTGTTTTTATTACGTTTGCTGTTTGTTTTTTATATTTATTTTTGCACTGCTCTGTGCATCTTCGTACCGCACAATGACGAGATGCTTTTGCAACTGATTMGACACTTTTTATTACTTTTAACCGCACTTCGGTCTCTTCGGATCACTGGAAGCATGCCTGCAACACACGCCGGCATTGTTTACACCCGCGACCAGCTGATGGCCCTGAGGCACACCACCCTCTTGGCCGG